ACATCAGCACCTTCTTTAGTAACGTTCCCAACCTGGTGATGACCATTGCTACTGGCAGCCATTAGAGAAGTCCATCCATTATTGTTTTGAATGTTAGCATCACCACCTTCTTTAAGTAACAGTTCCACAACCTGGTGATGACCATTGCTACTGGCAGCCATTAGAGAAGTCCATCCATTATTGTTTTGAATGTTAGCATCACCACCTTCTTTAAGTAACAGTTCCACAACCTGGTGATGACCATTGCTACTGGCAGCCATTAGAGAAGTCCATCCATCATTGTGTTGAATGTTAGCATCACCACCTTCTTTAAGTAACAGTTCCACAACCTGGTGATGACCATTGTTACTGGCAGCCATTAGAGAAGTCCATCCATTATTGTTTTGAATGTTAGCATCAGCACCTTCTTTAAGTAACAGTTCCACAACCTGGTGATGACCATTGCTACTGGCAGCCATTAGAGAAGTCCATCCATTATTGTTTTGAGGATTAATATCACCACCTTCTTTAAGTAACAGTTCCACAACCTGGTGATGACCACCTCTACTAGCTACATACAAAGCAGTTCTTCCTATTTTATCTTGTACATTAGGATCAGCATTATACTTCAGTAATAATTCAATAACTTGTGTATGACCTTGTTCACTGGCCAGCATTAGTGCAGTTGCTCCATCTTTATGAGTTTGAATTTCAGTATCAGCATGACCTTCTTTAAGTAACAGTTCCACAATCTGGTGACGGCCCTTCTGACTGGCACCCATCAGAGCTGTCTCTCTATTATTGCTTTGAATGTTAGCATTAGCACCTTCTTTAAGTAACAGATCCACAACCTGATAATGACCATTGTCACTAGCAATTATTAGAGCAGTCTTTCCAATATTATCTTGAATATTAACATCAGCACCTTCTTTAAGTAACAGTTCCACAACTTGGTGATGACCATTGTGACTGGCAGCCATTAGAGAAGTCCATCCATCATTGTTTTGAGGGTTAACATCAGCACCTTCTTTAAGTAACAGTTCCACAACCTGGTGATGACCATTGCTACTGGCAGCCATTAGAGAAGTCCATCCATTATTGTTTTGAATGTTAGCATCACCACCTTCTTTAAGTAACAGTTCCACAACCTGGTGATGACCATTGCTACTGGCAGCCATTAGAGAAGTCCATCCATTATTGTTTTGAATGTTAGCATCACCACCTTCTTTAAGTAACAGTTCCACAACCTGGTGATGACCATTGCTACTGGCAGCCATTAGAGAAGTCCATCCATCATTGTGTTGAATGTTAGCATCACCACCTTCTTTAAGTAACAGTTCCACAACCTGGTGATGACCATTGTTACTGGCAGCCATTAGAGAAGTCCATCCA